CCGAAGATACCGAAATTGTTAAAGAATTATGGCTCCAATTCCCACCAGCAAATATACAACCAGCGATTAATTTATATAATAATTTCTATAATAATTTATTCTCAAATAACAGATTGCTACATGAGGCATGCCAGTTTACAGGCAAGATCAAATTGTTAAAGAAGTTACAATTTTCACTTTTGAAAATTACTCAGCTGGGTTGATATTTCATAAGATATGAATGTAAATGGATTTCGTAAGGAATGTGTCAATACCACACTTGGCGCACTTTATGGAGGTAGCGTTGCAACATACAACTGATGGTCGAGAATAGACACATGCGAAGTTGGGGGCTTTTAGAAGTTTCGAACTTATATCCATCCAGAATATCGGAAGCTTTAATAACGGTGTAGGACCAAGTCACCCGTACCATATCCGTTTCCGGTGGAGCATCTGCAGGAGGCTGAAAAAGGTATAAGAAAAAGGAAGGACGAAAAGCAGAGCACACAATATTCATGGAGGAATAGTTAATGTATAACCATTTAGTCTATTTGTCTGTTACTGAAGTATTTATTAGGTAAGAACATACTAATGTGTTAAAAAAAATAAGTGTGGGCAAGGTATGAGTGGGTAAGGAACTGTATAAATGAAGGTAGTTCAGAAGAAAGTATGGAACTGTGTAATTATAAAATAAAGTGCTGAAAACAGTATTCCGATACAAATGGCTGTTTCCCTTTTTTTCGAAGCTGTTTGAACTCTTTTTGTTTTTAGATTTTATAGGGTATAGAGTGGGCTTCGTTTTTAGCCAATTGTCTAGTTTGCTTGTAATAGGATTACTCGGTAGGAAGTGGAACCAATTTAGCTTTTTTTTAATGTGATCTAAAGTGGTATTTTTCATCATTATTATTATATTCCCTGCTTAATTTGAACTGATGCCTAGTATCTTTATGGTCTGAATCTCGATATTGCCTTGTGAAGAGATAGTCAGGAGTGATTTTCCATGGTGAGTGTAAGTTGTTTGTGCCAAATGAAGCAGAATGTTAGTGACATGATATTGTGACAGATTAAGTTGTAATCCACTATCTATTGTCCGTTCTTCTCTGCTTGCAAAATGACTGATGCTGAAACCTTCCAACTCGCTTGCACTCCGTTGTCACCTTGGTATGAAAAATCTTGTTCTGTAGGTGGTTTCAAAGCCAGGATAAAAGTAGATTTCTAAGAAACTTCTTCACAACGTTTGCTATGAGAAGCATGGTATTTACTGTGTCAAAATCGCTTGTAAAATCGAGGAATATTATATGTCCGATATGTTGTAGTCCTGGTAAATCGTCCAGCGTTCTAATGCTATGCAGTGGCTTGATGCACATGATCTGTCTTTTCTGAACTCGTGTTGAACTTCCTGGAGGATGTTGATTTTATCCATGTACTCCCTCGTTTATTCATTCGCCAGTCATTCCATTACCTTTTAAAGTACTAGGAGTATTGAAACTGTCTGTAGCAGACATGGCGACTTAATGATTGTCAGGTATAACGATTGAAGATACCCGAATGCTATAATTATTGCGGTGCTGCGAATATCTATGCTGTGTGATAACGCTACTGTGTTGTTTGGTGTTCACGAGCTTCAACGAGACTACCAACAACTAGCTCAGGAACTCTGTGAACCGCGTTGCTGGATGACTCTTGAGTGTTTGCTGATCTTCCACGCGTCACAGTTCGTCATGTCTAACTCAGATTTGATAGGGTATTCCAACCGACGGTCTCTGTTATGTCAGTAGCATTTCCTTCGTAACGTGTGTTGAATCCAAAGTCACCCTCAGTGGAGAATGTTAACTGTTAGCTAAACTTTGGACCTCTATCTTTACTGCGTTTTGAGGCCCGTTTTGAACAATAAGGGGTAGTGAGGCGATTGTTTTAATGAAGAGAATGTGACAGTGTCTCCTTTTAGCGGGGGAGAACCAAGATGGTTGAGGTGTCAGTATCAATGTATTGTGACCATTCGTGATTGTAATGCAAACTCAGTGAGAATATCCGATGAAAGTATGAAGAGAATTATTTTTATCATTGTTGTTTAGACAGTTGTCATTGACATGGTAACAGTATTATTGTGCCAGAAAATGAGCCTGTTGTAACTGATGAACAAACGGGCTCTTGTATCAGTATTCCTTCATCAGTTCGGGTTTGGTATTTGAGAATGGTTCACTAAACTGTATTGCATATCTTACTAGGGACATTAATATTCACATTGCGACAGACTTTTCTTTCGGTTTCCATCTGTTTGTGGTATCTAGTACTACTTCACACTCACATAGTTTGTCTTAGCTTTTGAATATACGCTAATAACTCAGATAGCATACACCTATTGATTCATCTTTACTTTCATAATAACTTTCATAATAGAAAATATACTTCTTGTATTCATGTCCTTGTAAATCTATTCTTATACGCCTTGTGCGTACCTGTTTCTATGTCTGACGCTCATTAATTTATTCAGTGCGTACGTCACGGTTGAATAGTCCACTTTTTTACGGGGAATGAAAAGTACTACTAACTATCCTTGACTAATTAACCAAAACTAATGAACAAACAATGATACAGAAATTACACCAGGTCGGTTCGCTGATACACTATTAGCACGACGTCAATAACAAGCGCATAAGTAGCAATAACAACGGCAGGTGTCTTCCATACTCTCGCCAAATATTCCCACTGACTCAGAAATTCAATCATTATCTGCAAATCCTAGCCTTGACACAACCACGAACGAACCACATTATGGAGGTGCTGGCTGCTGAAAACATAACGTCAGAACAGCAAAACAAGATCAGTGATGTCAACATCTCGGTTTCCTTGTTAGCGTATCTCTTTACCGCGCTATGAATTAGCTATTTTAAGCCTATGTGTATGTATCACTTAGTCCATCCATCACATTCCTTTAGGTCATATTTATCTGATCATAAACAATAAGTCACGGTTGGCACGCTTATTTTCTCTGCTTCGTTTGGACATCTTGATTGTCATTTCAATGTCTGTCTATGGACACGATTCAGCGAGCTGAACGAACTCAATCCGTATTTTGTTTTTTATTGCCACCGTCTCACAAACGGTGTTAGCCTAGGCGATTATACGGAATTAGACGGATGGTCTATACTTATGTCTCACTCATTTAAACACGTTGGCATCAAATGTTCTGATTTGGTAATCACATTATTATTATTTATTAAAACAAACTGTTCAATTTAAGTAACTCTACAGCTTCCTGTCTAAGCAACTTCACTCCCTAGAACAAAAGCATCTATCTTTACCGTAGACACATGAACCTCCAAAAACTGTCGGTTCAAAAAGTATTATTGAGAATGAGTGGATGGAAAACACATCTGCCATGGAACTGCACATTGAGAGGAGAGTGCAAAGATTACAAAATTAGTGGATAAATAGTTCTACATGGGATCAAAATGTAGTGCTGACAGCTATAGGTTTAAGCTTTGAAAAACCTAATTCAACAGAAAAGTAACTGAATTTCGAGATAAAAGCAAAGCGCAAATAGATTTTTAATCTCGTATGTCATTATCTTGAGTTCAGTTATTTAGCATTCAGCCTGAGTTTTTCTAGGGTCTTCATTTAGAATCATCAAATGCCTGGGACCGTAGCAAAATAACGAGAAGCAAGCTCCAAGAAATCAACTGGTCTATACAAGCACATGACAAATATATTATACATTGTATATAAGTACTACATGGAAAAGTAAGGCCATTTGGCGGTCATTTGGCATTTATCATCAATAAAACAGTTGTCAAGGCAAATAAGGTGTTGAATTCGTGTTTATTACGTATCGAATATACAAATACAACGTAAACACTTTTCTAGCTTTTTCACATTAAACATAAGAACTAAATTATTTCTTTTTGTCGTAGCCTTGAAGAGGAGCTAAATCTTTCTCAGGATTTTTTTTACATAAACACGGATACTCATCAAAGTTTCTAATGAAACATGTGACTGCAACTAAACTTCGTACATACGTACATCAGTTCGAGTTGCCACACCACATTAACACAGAGATGCACTTGTCCATTCAAATCCCATAGTGGTGGAAGTGGTAAGAGTGCAGGCAGTAATCCGAAAGATTAGAGTTTAAAGATGTTATTCAAGGATTATAGTCCAGTGAAATAAATTCGGAAAGAGAAAAAGATAAAGACATGAGGAATTCAGAAGATTAGAATTTAGTAGAACACAAAGAGTGCATGCACCTTCGCCATTGCAAACGATTTTGAGCCATCTCATTCAAAGTCTCTAACCATCGGTTGCTATCATCTCGCGTATCCCAACCAGGTAGTCTACACCTACCAACATGGCTCAGTCCACTTGTCAGTGACTTCATGGATTTATGCCATGTTTTGGTCTGGCCGCCCCTAGCTTTCTTCCAACCTGCTCCTACACCATAAAGCATTGCACGTCGGGGCAGTCGGTGGTTGGGCATACGTAACACATGTCCCAGCCATCTCAACTGATGAAGTTTCACTACTTCATCAATCGATTTGCCATCCTTACCTAGTACCCGTTTCCTAACATCTGCATTACTTACCCAGTGGTTCCAAGAAATACGAGCAATGCGTCGAAGACACCTATGATCGAACACTAGTAGCCTAGTAACGTAAAATTTACAGTCAGCAATAGCTATTGTACAAATTATGTGAAATAGTGAAAAACACAGACAATGACAAAATCTAGCTACAAACCAAGTTCATGTTAACTACCTCCACAATCTTAATTGTCAAATATCTACTTAGTTTTTCATTTGGTTGATAATTTTCTGCTACACAATAAAGCAACCAAATATTTATTTACAGAGGGTTGACTAAGATTAAGAGGGATTAAGGTATGACAATCACGAAAACTGTTAGGTAATATTCTGTCAATATCTACTGTTGGACAATTCAACTTGTCGCGATATATTATAAATCTGACCTTGTTGGTTAGGTTAACCTGTTTAGGGATTTTGACGTATTCGACGGATCAATGTAATGTCTGTCCCTCCCCCACCACCTCCCCCTCAGATTAAATCTACCAGACCACCACCGAAACAGACCTGTGACTCTTCAGGTCCAGCGTTTTTGGCTGATATTAAGGCCGGCCGGACTCTTAGAAAAGTTCCAGATTCTGAAAAGAAGGATAGGAGTGCTCCTTTAAGGTCGAAACCAACAGGTTAGTTCACCATTTTATGGTTTGTAGCGTCATCTCCTTTATACAATCTCGATATAATCTTCAAGAGATTTACAAAATTACTCTAAACAAATATGATCATTACTTTTAACGCTTATAGTGACTTGGGCATATTTAAAATAGTGGTTATGCTTTCCTTATTGCTCCACACACTAAAAATACGTATCCGAATCAGGATACAAAAATCTTGTTTAATATATACCTAGTTAACCTTTTGGTTGGGCTATACGGGGATGTTGGGAGAAACCAAACTCTGGTCACTGGCCGTAATAAAAAAGTTGCAGGAAAATCCTCAAGTTCCCTTATTTTTCGCATATTTGATGTTGCGTCTTACCGTTTGGCTTAATACAAGTGTAATCTGAGAATTAACTGTAGTCTATTACACGAGCTTTCAAAATGTTTGGAGTAAGATTTAAGAATCGTGGATATAATGTTCTGCAACGTTTTGGGTTTGTACTTGCCGGATAAACAGTTGAAGTTCAAGAGAGTACCCCTAATCTATTAACAAGAAGTAGTTAGATATTGTTTGAAAGTATGTTGCATATGACCTCAATTATGCGTGCCTCTACATGTGCCGTTTGTTGACTAGTTAATCCCGTGATAAATTGAACAAATTTCAAGGTTTTCATGTCGTTAATCCACAGAAGTTTAAAGCATCTGGTTAAAAGTGTAGTTTCACACATCTTTGAGAAAACCTATGAGAGCTTCGAGGTCACTCAACGGTTGGTCCTTATGCTCCAAGTGACCTTAATTCTCTCAAGTCAGCAAAGGAGTATCGTTTGCTCTCACTCAACAAGCGTGATGGATCATTTTGTACATGTTTGGCGAGTTGGCCGCGTTATGTATATTATCGCAAGAATTACTGATACAAAATATGGGGTCTAAATTTCACATTACAGAATTTTCCTTATTCCAAAACATCACGTACAAATTGTTATTAAAGATATTTTATTTAGATTTCTAATTACGATTGTTTTTTTGGTATCTTCAGATGTATGTAGGTGCTCGTATTCACAATTTAATCTCATAGAATATTAATCCACATCACACAAAGGGAAACCTTTTAGATTGTTGCCACAATGTGAATTAAAAATTTACACACTATTTGTTACTATTTCAGCATTATTTTAAGGATAGGGCTTAAAAGTATCTGCGGGATGTTAACTTACTAGTATTTGTGTATTTTACTCTCAATTTTTTAGCTAATGACCATTTAGGGACGCTTTTCAACCTTAATATGGGACACAAGCCAACCATAGATCTTAAGAGTATTAAACATTTAGTAGTTTTATTTCCAAGTAGTTCGCGTCTACCTGCTTGGATTGTAATAGCACATAGCCGTAAAAGCGTGCGCCAATTTTCTTGGAGTTTACATCCCTTATTGTTAACGCTTAATAAATCTTGGTAGTTATTAATATACAATGTTATTGATATTCACTTTCAGTTGGTTGTTTCACAAAATATTTATTTGTACATATTCTTATTGGAAATATCTTTGTTTTTCTCCTTCTACCGCTTCTGTTTCTCATTATTCGTTTATCAAGATCAAAATAATGAAGGCAGTGCTGGAGGTCCACCAGCACCTGTTAGTGGAAATCTCCCACCTGTTGATCTTTCAAATCTTTTTGCAAATGGTGTACCAAAATTAAAATCTGTTAGTTCAGCAGATGTCGCACGTAATAATACGGTGCAGAATTTATCTACAAAACCATCTAGTTATGGGCACGTAAAAAGTCCTGCACCGCCACCTCCCCCTCCCTTATTTACAACTACTGCAGCGTCTGTAGCTCCGAATAACTACCCGTTGTCAACTCCTTATACACTTTATCAACATTCAACTCCAACAGCAAATAATAATGCCACAGTAAGAAAGACTTCTTCATTCATTTAGTTTTATGCTTTAAACCTTTTATTGCTATAATATGGATGACTTTAGAAATATTTAGTCATTTTTATTTTATTTATTTATTTAAACACATAAACATTGGTACAAGGAGCCACCAAATAGATGTGCACCACATAAATCATTCGATTTATTTCAGGGCTGAAATACTGCCCGGGTGCCCAAACCGATGCAGGTGGTTTTATTAGGAGGGCACTGCCCGAGCCTTTTACCTAAGGTCTGATCCACAAGGCAGTGGAGCATCGTGAGGAGATGCAGTCCCATGGTAGCCGGTGACCAACGATTGGTTCGTACACCATTTGTTCTTTCAGAATACTGGAGCCCATGTTCACCATTGGTGTGAAATTAAGGTTTTCCAACTCCCCTAGGTGGACCCTCCATGTCCACCAACCCGGTTAAAGCGCCGGACATTCGCTTTTCGTCCTCTCAGTTTCGTAAACAACACCCCCGCCACGAGAAGGCAGTGAGTAGGAATTCCCTGACAGTGGTTGTATGCACGTGTTCATGTGAGAACATTTCGAGAGGGAGAGCGAAGTCTCCCCACTCTCGGCCGTACCAGGGCACTTGGGGCTAAGATAAGTTCATGATTTAAACTATGACGATTCTACAACCTCCACAAAATCCTGTGCTGATATTTCATGTTTTTTATGATGTTAGATCCCCAGAACTCACTTGGTAAATGTCTTATTTTTGTAGTTATATTTTGAAAATTCTAATTTCTTGTTTCCGCGTCAAAAGCGCTCATTTTCACCTTCATATCGTATTCCCCATTTGGGAGGATCCTAAATGCTATTGGTCCGTTGTATCTTTTAGTATACTCTTTTGTAATGTTTCTCAAGGACAATTTTACTATATATATATACGTTTTATTTGTGCTTGTGATTGCTTGTGCTTCTGGTTGCTTGCGGAATATATTTCCCCACTTCGGACGTGGACTTCTCACTCTAATTAGCGGGGATGAGACACGTAAAATTGGTCTTTAGTCACTGAGTCTTTGTTCCGTTCTCATATTAAGGAACTCGTAATCGATATAAACATAACACATGTTTATAATTTATCTCCTGAGTGGGGTAGTTAAGCGTGTTAGTGAGTTTTCATCTAATTGGTATATCAAATTAGCTCTGACAACACGCAACGTAATCACTTCATATATCCAAAGGAATTACGACGCTAATCATTAATAGGTTTATTAACCATTATCGCATTGGGTCCTCGAGATGTTCTACACTCTCCTTCCACCTCTTACCGTGTATTGCACAATAGCATTATGGTGGGATAAATGTTTTGGTTAACAAATGATATACCGTCCACTTGCGAAGTGATTTACTGATGGGCTGAGCCATATTTATAGTTTCATGCCTAATTAAGATTCACAGGACAGTTTTGATGCGTGGTTTATAAGGTTAAGCGACAATTCAAATTGCTCTTGATGGGTTGGGTTGATCTAGATGTATCATATGCCATATCAGGGTCAAATGATAGGGTGGAACTCGATCGTTGCTGCTACCTTGACTCGACCGTTGCTGCTACCTTGACGTGGTGGTCGGGCTTGCCTGTCGTGATGAAGCAATCGAGCTATGCTGGCTGGAACAATCGTTCCTCGAAGTCCTACCATGCCAGACAGCTCGGTTGAAAAGCGGTGAGACTAAAAGCAGCACTCCCAAGGTCCGAAGGCGAAGTCGTACTGCCGACTGTACAAAGGTGTGACGGCAGTAAGGTGTTTCTTTCAGATAACCAGCATAACAGCGATGCTGTCTTCCTACAAGGAATGGTGGGGTTAGAAAAGGTCGACCTTAAAAATACACACCTTGCCTTATCCCGAAGATATCCGTCTCCGGCGGTAAGGTCCTTTGAAGAACGGAGCTAACACGTCAAAAAGACCGTGCGTGACCGGCCTCAAGCAGTTGTCTCTTGGGCACTGCGGTCACGCTCCCAGATCGTTCAGACCAACACTAATCCAACTTCTTATTCAGGTCCCTCAAGAAATACCCTTCCACGGTGTGGGCATCCGAGAAGTGGTATTAGCCCTCATACCCGTAACAGCACACGAGACCAAGTTGGTCACTTTCAAATCCTTCCTACACCTCCTAACAACTCTCTTATCTCCACGACTAACCCTTCCTACGTCCTTTTATCACCTCGCACCACTAGGGCAAACGATTCGTGTACACGGAACGTTATTCCTGGTCTTTTTTGAAACCTCGCTGTAAACTACATGTAGGGGATCTTAAAGTTCGAACATGGTGCCAAATAGGACAACAGGCTTTTTTAGCTAGGACTTTAGAATCTTGCACCATCGATGTATGCTGCGTCTCCGAAACGCGCATACAAGATCTGAGTAGCGTCATTCATTTGACCTCACATAATCAAAATAAAGAACCATCTCGATACACGCTTCGTGTATCTGGAAACCCTGATGCTGCTTCCCGTGGCCTCGCTGGAGTAGGTATAGCATTAAGTCCTAGGACAGAACTAGCTCTTTTAGACTGGATCCCAGTAGACAGTCGTCTATGCTCTGTTCGACTAAACGGGTCAGTAAGGACTCGGAAAGATAGGGAAACTCGTCGTTGTCTCTTCGTCATCTCTGCCTACTCTCCCACTGACTGTAGCTCAGACGATATAAAAGATGAGTTTTACAGGAAACTTTCTGACCTTCTCCGAAAAGCTAGGCGTTCTGATGTAGTAATAGTAGCAGGTGACTTTAATGCTCAAGTAGGCAAACTAAGTGAAAGGGAAAGGCACCTGGGTGGATCTTATGGTGTCATGGCGAAAAGAACAGATAATGGCGACCGTCTGTTGCAGCTGTGCTCAGATAACCGCCTATTTCATGCAAATACTAACTTTAAGCATAAGGAAAAACATCTTTTGACATGGTGACCCCCGAATTCGTCCCAACGTTGGACCCAATTAGATCACATCGCTATCAGCCACCGATGGAGGGGCTTGATAGAAGACTGTCGCTCATTCTGGGGCACATTTTTAGATTTAGATCATGCTCTAATGCGAGCACGTATCTGTCTTCGACTTACTGGACGTAGGAAAGACACTGCAGGGAAGCCTCTAAGGGTTCTACTTAATGATAAGCAAGCTAAGAATATATTTCAGGAACAACTGGAAAAACAGTTAGACAGACATGTAAGTTGTGTCCACCCCGAAGCAGCGTGGAATGACATCCGAAAAGCTGTGGAAACAGCAGTGATATCCGCTAGTAAGGTAAGCCATAAGGTCAGGGAGAAACAATGGATCTCGGCAGCATCTACCGCACTGATAGATGCTCGAAAACTCATCCCTCCTGGCTCTGAAGATAACGAAGAGCGGAGTAAGCTTAAGCGAAGGCTAATAAGAAGCCTACGTAATGATCGTGAACAGTGTTGGGTAGCGAAATCAAGAGAGATGGAAAAGGCAGAGGCAATAGGTAACAGCAGACAGCTGTTCAAACTTATTAAAGAAACCGGTATTAGGAACACAAATATCAGTGAAACCATCTCAGATAAAGATGGACATATCATTCATTCTCAATCCAGGAGATTAGATCGATGGGCAGAACACTTTAGGGATCAGTTCAACTGGCCTTCAGCCACACTTCAGTTACCCACGATCCCCAGTCGTCCTGAATGGCAAATTGATGTAAGTCCTCCAACTCTCTACGAGGTTGAAAAAGCTATAGGAAATCTAAAGTGAGGGAGAGCCGCAGGCCCTGACAAGTTTACCCCTGAGATTTTTAAGAATGGTGGTCCAGTACTAGCAACGAGATTGACTGAGGTCTAAGGTAGAATCTGGGAAGTGGACGTAATTCCATCTGACTGGCCCCAATCACTGATTGTGCCAGTCTATAAGAAAGGACAAAAATCCTCCTGTGACAATCACAGAGGAATCAGTTTGACTAATATAGTGTCTAAAATATTAGCTTCAATAATACTTGGACGCCTAACTAAAGCTCGTGAAGAGCAGACTAGAGAAAACCAGGCTGGTTTTTGACCTGGACGTGGTTGCCTAGACCAGATATTCACCCTACGTCAGGTCCTAGAACATAGACATACATTCAGACGTCCCACAATAGTAGTATTTCTTGACCTTAAAGCGGCATTTGACTCCGTGGATCGTGAGGTTCTAGGGCAGTGTTTGTCAGTGAAAGGAGTACCAAAGAAGTACATTAACCTCATAAAGGCTCTCTACTCGAACACAACTGGTCGAGTTAGAGCCTATGGCGAACTGTCATCAGAATTGGTTATCTCAAGTGGTGTTCGTCAGGGCTGTCCACTCTCCCCATTCTTGTTTAACTTTGTCGTTGACATGTTTTTAGAGGTATCACTTTCATCATCTCAATCTCCTGGAGTTGAACTTTTACCAGGAGATTCACTTGTTGACTTAGAATACGCCGACGACATAGTTTTATTCGGTAAAGACTCTGACAAAATGCAGAGTCTTCTGACCACTATAAGCAACAATGCAGGCATGTTCGGGATGCGATTCTCTCCCTCGAAGTGCAAAATGTTACTTCAGGATTGGGTTGCATCGACACCTGAACTAATGATAGGGAGTAAAGTAGTTGAGCGTGTTGACAGCTTCACTTATCTTGGGAGTCTCATCAGCCCTTGTGGTCTGGTGTGTGACGAGATCTCAGCACGGATACACAGGGCTCGTTTGGCTTTTGCCAACTTGCGTCATTTATGGCGTAGGCGAGATATCCGTCTAGCAACCAAAGGACGGGTTTACTGTGCAGCAGTCCGTTCCGTCCTACTTTATGGAAGTGAAACATGGCCGATAAGAGTAGAGGATATTCGTAGGCTACTAGTGTTCGATCATAGGTGTCTTCGACGCATTGCTCGTATTTCTTGGAACCACTGGGTAAGTAATGCAGATGTTAGGAAACGGGTACTAGGTAAGGATGGCAAATCGATTGATGAAGTAGTGAAACTTCATCAGTTGAGATGGCTGGGACATGTGTTACGTATGCCCAACCACCGACTGCCCCGACGTGCAATGCTTTATGGTGTAGGAGCAGGTTGGAAGAAAGCTAGGGGCGGCCAGACCAAAACATGGCATAAATCCATGAAGTCACTGACAAGTGGACTGAGCCATGTTGGTAGGTGTAGACTACCTGGTTGGGATACGCGAGATGATAGCAACCGATGGTTAGAGACTTTGAATGAGATGGCTCAAAATCGTTTGCAATGGCGAAGGTGCATGCACTCTTTGTGTTCTACTAAATTCTAATCTTCTGAATTCCTCATGTCTTTATCTTTTTCTCTTTCCGAATTTATTTCACTGGACTATAATCCTTGAATAACATCTTTAAACTCTAATCTTTCGGATTACTGCCTGCACTCTTACCACTTCCACCACTATGGGATTTGAATGGACAAGTGCATCTCTGTGTTAATGTGGTGTGGCAACTCGAACTGATGTACGTACGTACGAAGTTCTACGTTGTAACTGGCTGACGGACTGACTGATAGGTTGGAAATCGTAGGCAGGATATGCTATTGTAGGTCGTTGATTACTCCCCTAGTGAAAGCCTCAATTTACATGTTCTCGTCAGGGTCAAAGGGAAATATATATGTTTACCCATATTCCATGTACATTTTATTCAGGTTGCCAATCACTGCTCCTTAGTTATTTCTCGTTCCCTCACGTAGCAGATTTAACAATCGTATAAGAGGCGCGTGTATCTGTAACCGCGAAACGTAATGGATCACAATGGAGTAAATGTTTACATTGACTTTTTTCTTCGAAATTTCGAGCTTAGTATCATTCCATACTTTAAAATGTTTCTGACACTATGTTCCATCATTTATGTTTTTCATTCTGTTAATTTTCCGTTTCACTGCACACAAACTTGTGAGGTATGACATAGTAACTGATGCAAACATTCCTGCTAGGTCCCAAATCAGTTATGACTGACGGTAGGAAATTAGTAGAGTAGTTTAATCGTTGTTGTAACGGTCATATAAAATAGTTTAGATGCTAAAATTTGTGCTGATTGGTTCACTTTGGCATGTATGTGGGTGTCTTCATTCTCAAAGGTTTTTTATAAATGGTGTGGGGCAAATCGAATAAAAGAGAGGAAATAATCTTAATTGCGATGGTAGGCTAATCGTGAAGAATACAGTTCAAGAACGAATAAATAAAGTTGATTAATGGAAAGTTAGAAATGATATTAAACCCCAATATTTATAGGAAGATACAGAAAATGAAGTGCAACTATGCCACCGTGCGAAGGAGTTTTCCCCATTTGACCTAAATTGCACACTTTCTGACATGCTTCGTCCTATCAGCCAATGAATTCCGTAAACTGATTTGCTGACTTAACTTGTATGTCTGTAGATCTTTTTCTGCATGCCCTAATACCATCTAGTGTGTTGCACGTTAGACATTGCTTGCTACGTCATTTTACTATTCGCTAGAATATTTTTGTATGATTGAATATATTCAAGTTGCTAGTTTGTTATTTTACACTTACTACTTGTTTGGGGTCCGCGTGACTATCGTAACCAATGGTTGGAGACTCTAGGTGACATGGCTCAGAATCGACCACAATGGCGTAGGTGTATACACTCTTTATCTTCCCTTAAACCTTGAGATTAAAATTGCTTCATAACTTTCTTTCTTCCTATACTATATTCTTATATACAACCTCTCTTTTATATACTACCACCACTAAATTAACTACTTCTATGAATCCGGTGTTCATCTTGTTGTGCTAATGGTGTATGGCAATTTGGACCGATGCATATATGTGCCTGGTCCTACGTTGTAGCTGACTGACTGACTTACTTACTTTAAAGGAGCTATCCATTTTTTTTATCACTCCAATTATTGATGTTTTTCCAAGTTATGGTTACATTTGTAAAACAAACTTTTCATTTAAAAAATGAACCGAACTAATTTCCCACAACAAAACTATGCAATAAAAACACACGAGGAAGAAAAACAGTAAACCTAAAAGAAAATTTCAGACTGTGTTAGAATTTACAGTCTTGGAATCCTGCATCACATCGAACCATAACAAAATTCAGTAGATGAATTGGGTCATTTAACTGTAAATATAACCAGACTCAGGTACAGATGACAATTGTATAACTCCACTGTACTTTAAAATGAGTCTTTATCTGTATAACTATATGTATAAATATGAAATTCGACTTGGTATTCAGATAATGTTTACTCTTAATTACTATTATATCATGATTTATCACTGAATAGTGATCGATCATCTCACTACATCTTGAACTGATTAAATCTAAACATGTAAATCATTTGATATCAACTTAACTGTCTAGATGGTGACACACTCACTATGAGACTTACAGGTCTTGAGTCCGACCCCTGGTGTAGTTTCAGGTGCATACTACTCAGTAGTAGTCCCCTATTAGAACTACGCAGCTATTTAATACTCAACGGCTTTCAGTAACACTCTTCAACTGTAGTCAATCTGTTACAGATACAACGTACAAATTAAAAATAGTCTCCACCAGACCTTTCAAGCAAAATTGATATTTTTTTGTACCATGGTATCATTACAAAGTTTTTGTCATAGTTCTCCGGACAATCAGTTAGTTTGAATTTCTGATTATGATAATGGTTCCTGTCAGTCAGTGGAAAGTGTCTTTTAGGTTATTTTAAGAAGTAATTATTATTTATTATCCCACTTTCGCAGTTGTAGTTTAGTAGTTTGTATACTCAATTTCTGATGTGGACCATGTTTTACTCAACAAACCTATCTAATAACCCCCCCTCTCAATTTCTAAATATTTACATGGTTGCTGGGTCCAAAGTTTTGGTGCTCGAACACCCTGTTTTGTATGGGTGTGTGTGTGTGTGTGTGAATAGTTTGCCTCACCTCTCAAAATGTTTATTCTCATCATTTCTAGGCAGAATACATTTATGCACTTTTCTTATTCTACTGTTGTCCAACTAACTAACAATGTCATTAATAATTAGATATATATTAGTTTAAGGAATATATGCCGGTGTGATTTTTATTCCTCACTGTCTAACTAATGATAGTTTGTATTCAATTGTGGTATGCTTTATTATATACGTAACTTAGTTTAATTGCACAAAATAAATATTTACATCTTTTCGCTCTCTCATAACTATGCACAATTGTTGTTTTCTTTTGGATACATCTGAATTCGCTTGCGCTTAGTGTGTATGTATGTACTTGTATACTTATTCAGCCAATTTATCTGTCTACATTTGTGTGTGAAGGCTGTTCGTAATGGATCATCAGTACCAGCACCGCCAGCACCTCCTCCGCCTCCAACTCCTGCCAGACCGTCGATTTCAAAAAGCAGTTCTATTTCTTCATCTAATAACAATAATAATAGTTATCTTAGGCACAGTTTTCATAAAAAATCATCTGAAAATAATCAGCCAATGCCACCTGTTGTTCAGAGTCCACCTGTACAAGTTATAATGCTTTCTTCAATACCAACATCGTCAGCAACACCTTCATCACCACCACCACCAAGAGTAACTCCTCTTCAGTTAGGAAGTATAGCTACTGTACATGAAAATAATATTAATGATATGAATAGTAATAGTACTGTTAATAATTTGAATGGTACTACTGCTATGCCTCCACCTCCATCTGGACGTTCTCCACGACGAAAACAAAGTAGTTCAAATCGATATCAGGTAGGTAGTTGTATATACAAATATATCTATCTATCTATCTATATAGTTTTTTCTTTTAGTTACAAATCTTTTATTTTTATCATTTCTAATGGGATGAAATTTAATAACTTGTGTCAATATATGTTCTACTTCGTCGTTGTGGATTTCGTTTCTTTCTCCACCATTGCGTTGGATACTTGGTTGTTATTTAAAAAAAACGTTTCATTTTATTGGTGTGCACTAATTACACAGTTTTTATTTGTTAAATATTACGGCTTTACTTACCACAAACAACAGTGCAGTTTTGATTTGTGTGGTTGCATTACTTTTGCTGCTTGTATTTCATTCACTTGATTAACCGATAACGAATAACGTTTGATTTTTGGCTGACATTTCACTCGACAAGTTGACATTTGTAAACGTGCATCTTATGTTTCTGTTTTTGTTTTGTTCGACATAAAGCGTGCCGGTTCAACAAATGCAGATGTAAATGGTATACCTGTTGGTCAGTCAACTAAAGTGATACGTATTTCATCAAATATCAATGGAAGCTTACCTGATCCGCCATCTACACCATCTTCTATTGTAAATCCATACTTACCTTCATCTGTGTATGATATGAACAATTATACAGTGAATTCACGGGCACATCCAACACCGCCGCCGCCTCCACCGCCACCACCTCAACAACTATCATCATTATCTTCAATGAATAATTATAATGATGATAATAATAATATCGCTAGTCTTGTTCGTCGTTTTGAAAGTCGTTTCACTTTTCCTGATATTGGAAGTGTTCCTGTTCCGAAATCATATTATGGTCCTAAAACTTATCGTGTTGGTAGTATTAATAGTAGTGTGAATAACAGTAATAACCTCAACGACAATTACCGTAATCAAGGTAAGCTTATTTATATGATTATATTTACCTTAATAGTTAATCTAACTATATTCGTTAATTATTGTAAGTTTCTTTTAAAATGTACTTTTCATTCATTAGATCTGCATGTTATCGTGCATTAATGCTAGTTTGTTGGAGGTCAGTCAGTCACAACGTAGAACTTCGTACATACGTACATCAGTCCTAGTTGCCATACCACATTAGCACAGAGATGCAGTTGTCGATTCAAATCCCATAGTGGTAGGAGTAGTAAGAGTATAAGTAGTAATCAGAAAGATTGGGGTTTGAAGACGTTATTCAAAGAGTATAATAAGGTGAAATAAATTTGGAAAGAGAAAAAAGAGAGACATGAAGAATTCAGAAGATTAGAATTTGGGAGAACATAAAGAGTGGATGCACCTTCGCCATTGCAAACGATTTTGAACCATGTCATTCAAGGTCTCTAACCATCGATTGCTATCATCTCGCGGATCTCAACCAGGTAGTCTACACCTACCAACATGGCTCAGTCCTTGAGTGATGGAACAAGAATAGTATGTACTAGGTGATACAGTTCAGTTAACGATACAATCAATTTAATTGAGTTACTCTCCCTTTTAAAAAGAGTGCAAAAAGAAGAAGTTCATCAGAACTCACCAAACGCTTCTATTGTCAGCCATGTATGTCAACGTTTTAAGTCACTGAGTTAAACTACTTTTAGAATCCAATCCTAGGAGTCGTATCAGGTCAACAGATATCAGTCCCATATATCCATCCTTTATACCACAGTGTCAAGTTATCAACTGATCACTTGGCCCCCAAATGCCCTGGTATGGCTGAGGGTGGGAAGAAACCAATTTCCCTCTAGAAATATTCTCACATGGCCACGCGTTTACAGCCACTGCTAGGGAAGTCCTACTCACTGCCTTCTCACGCCTAGGGTATTGTTTACGAAATTGAGAGGACGAAAATCGAATATCCAACCATTTAACCGCATTGATGGATATAAAAACTTTACCTAGGGTAGTTGGAAAACCCTGATCTTAAACCGATGATGGACATGTGTTACAGGATCCTGAGGGAAAAAATGGCGTATTAACTTATTATTGGTTACCCGCTACCATAGGACTGAATCTCCTAACGTTGCTCCAATACCTTGTGGATTGGACCTCTAGGTCAAAGTTTCGGAGAGTGGTACCCTAAGAGAACCACTTGTTTCGGTTTTGACATGCGAACAATATAATCGTGTTATCGAAAGTAGTTGAATAGATATTTGAAAGCTAAGTTTCTATTAACCAAGTGATTGAATATATCTTAGATGAATTAAACGATCATGTATGTACAAAATATGATTATTTGTGAAATGATACAGTGAGTAAACTTTTAGTGGCCCGACTTCGGACTTCAATTGGATCGTATGATAATGTGTGTTTTCGAAATATTCATCTCTGTTACCTTCGTATATAATCATCGACTTAACTCGTGTTAGTGAGTAACAGAATTAAATAAGTCAACTACGATATTGAGTTTCGTTCTCAAGCTACATTTTGACCTTGTCATGTATTCGACTATCAACCTTGACTGTTTTATATGAATGTATGTGTGTTGATTACTTACCCTATTCATCATATGTCTGTAACTTACCTCTTTCTGACTATCAATATCGATTCATGCATGGTTAAATTGAGTTGGTTCAATCGCCTTTTCCATTGCACGTCATTTCGTTTCCCTGATTGTCTGTCCAGATCAACGATTGTGTAAAATATACATATTCGAGATTCACTCTGGTATTTGACTTCTGGTATTTACTTCTGTTATTCATTAAGGCGAATTAAATAGATGATTATATACTAGGGTAACATGGATGAATATTTCGGTAATATACATTACCATACTATCAAACTTGAGTCAGATATCGGGCTACCAAAGTGGTGAGCCTGTTGATAACATTATTGTCCAATCTAATTGGTGTCGAAATTCAGAGGCTACACTAAAGACTAACTGATTCACTCGCTGAGTTGTATGTTAACGTAACTCTTTTACCAAGTATAAATGTATGTACACGATTCTAAGTCCTCACGCCTAGGGTGTTGTTTACGAAGTTGATAAGACGAAAAGCGAATATCTGGCGCTTTAACCGGATTAGTGGATATGGAGAATTCATATAGGGGATTTGGAAAACCCTGATTTCAAACCAATGGTGCATATGAGCTCCACTATCCTGAGAGAACAAATGACGTATGAATCAATCGTTGGTCACCGGCTATCATGGAACTGCATCTCTTTACTATGCTCAACCGCCTTGTGGATCAGACCTTTAGGTCGAAGGTTCCGGTTGTGGCCTCTTAAGAAAACCACCTGTTTCACTTTAGGCACCTGGGCAGTATCACAGCTCTCACACAAATCTCATTCGATTTGTGTGGGGCATATGTATTTGGTACCCCTTTGTACCAATATTTATGTGTTTAAATAAATAAATAAGTCAAAAATATTTTTTGTAAGGGATATTGATATAATAACGGAGGCTACCAAAGCCGAATTAAGTAGATTTCGATCAATCCATAACAGTTCGAATCCATAACTGATTGCATTTATTTTTGAAGGTCAGTGATTGAAAAGGGCATTATTCATAAAATGTTGTTTAATGATGAATATGCCTGGATAGTTGTGGTTATCAAAGTTTTGTTAGTCTTACTTTTTCGATATGATGAATATTATCGAATTCTTGTTCAATTTATTTATTTATTTATTTAAACACATAAATATTGGTACAAAAAGGCACCAGATATATATGCGCTGCACAAATCTGATTTCATTTGTGTGAGGGCTGTGATACTGTCCAGGCGCCCAAACTGAAGCAGGTGGTTTTCTTAGGGCGCTACACCTGGAGCCTTTGATCTAAGTGTCTGATCCATAAGGCAGTGGAGCATCGTAAGGAGATGCAGTTCCATGGTAGCCGGTGACCAACAATAGGTTGATACGCCTTTTTTCCCCTCAGGATACTGGAGTCATCCTATGTGCACCATTGGTTTAAAATCAAGGTTTTCCAACTCCCCTAGGTGGACTTTTCCTGTCCATCAACCCGGTTATAGCGCCGGACATTCGCTTTTCGTCTTCTCAACTTTGTAAACCACAGTAATGCCACGAGAAGGCAGTGAGTAGGACTTTCCTGGCAGAGTCTAAATACACTTGGTCATGTGAGAGTATTTCGAGAGAGAGGGCGGGCCCTCCTCACTCTCGTACGTACCAAGGCATTTGGGTACAAAATACCTGTCTAAACTATTATCTTAAAGTTTATGATTGAACTATTTTCATATAATTAATTTCCTGTTTTGATTTTTATATTTCTTTTTCTCTTTCTCTCTTTGTTTCTTCAATTGTAGTACCTTACCGATTAGCTCCTGCAGCGCCAAGAAATTACTAAAACTATTCTTTTAACTTGGTTCAGTTTCTATGTGTGTTTTTTAAAAAATCTTTTAAACTTGATTAAGAAATAGAAGAGCAAAAAAATGTTTACCTGTTTTGTATTCACTCACCAATTTCATTATTACTAACACAATAGTAGTGATACATATTGTGATTTATAAACTAATTCGTACCAATGATAAAAATTGTGATTCATTTTTAATTTCTCTTGACTAACTTCCCCTCTTTTTGTATTGTTCGTTTTTATCTTCCTTAGTTGTTGGGGGGTTTTTCGAAGGAGAGAGACAGAGAGAGAGTGATTGTTTCTATCCTTCCGCTTGTTCTTACCGTGCTACATTTTCTATGCTTTAAACAGTATACTGACGGTAATGCATATATGTATATGTGCGGTACATTTTGTGTGCTTTCCTCATATTAGTACCAGTAGTAGTAATAGTAGTAGTATCTTCATCATTTAGTTCAGATATACCTGTTTGAAAAGAAACCCGACTATAAACAGAATAGTCTGTGATCCAAATCAGTAATCCTTTACCTTCTTTTTAAGTAGTATATTCTTCTCACATTATACACATACACACATGTACGCCATATATATGGATAGATGTATGTAATGAAAATGTCTTCCATTTTATCTCACCAAGAACCTTCCATACAACCTCTGTCTCTATTGTCTTTTCTTTTAAAAGCTATTTTCCACATTGCTGACTTTCTTTTTCTCTTATGAAAGACTTCTTGCTTTATACTTACTATTGCTACTATTATTTTGTTATATAACATACATACATTGTTTAATGTAATAATATTCATGGAGGAGAGGTTAGGACTGCCGATATTGTGTCTGCGGGGTTGGATGTCCAAAAGAGCGTAATGATTTATAAGAAATAATAATATTTTCTTTCTTGTTTATTACGTCTTTTGTTTTTATCGGCTTCTAAATTAGTTTTTGAAAAAAAAGTTGCCAGCTTAGTTTAGTTTTGTTATTGCATTTAGATTTTTTTGTTGTTGTCTTGTGTGGATATGGGGGAGTGTGGGTTAGGATGAAGGAAATGGAAGAATTTAACTTGTGTTCTATTCTGTTCTGTTCCTTCGCTTCACACACCCCCAAACTGTTTCCTACTTGAATGTTGAGTATGTATGGAATATTGTTTGAGTCTTTAGTTTTGTGTTGTAAATCATGGTCAAATCTTAGAGATTTACTGAAAACGAGGAAACACTGGATAGATTTTTCGTCTTAGAATAGGACTATTCGACAATCTACTATACTATACTATATCCTCATATACAACCTCTCTTTTATATATTACCACCACTAAATGAACTACTATGAATTCGGTGTTCATCTTGTTGTGCTAACGAGGTATAGCAACTTGGACCCATGCATATGTGTGTCTCGTCTTACGTTGTAATTGACTGACTGACAATCCACTAGTTCCGAAAGGTAATTTCCGGAGTTCTGATAAAAGCTGTAACCAGTTAAGTTCAACTATGCCTGGTGTGCGGTAGTTAACCACTAATGATATTGGAAAACTGTTGGATAATATCATAGATCTGTTGTATCTGAAAATGTAAACTAATATATGTTGATTCACTGGTTTAAAGATTAAATGTCCATCGACAAACCCTTGAGTCCCGTGGTCGAACCCTGGTCTGTCCGTGTATGGGCACCACTGAGGAGTTCCAAACTGGGACGAAATAACTATCCAGTGCGTTATGGTTTTCAATGGTTGTTTTACTAAGGTCAATTTATGATCTAAACTAAAAAACACAATCAATCTACTATAAACCATACTATCAGGATTACTCTTTTTATCTAGTTTTCACATAAGTTAGAGCTGTGGGGTAAACTATCTAGTGCACTAGTATTGTAGACGATTGCTTAAATGGACTCATTTTCTAGCAAATTGCAAAAAGTCTTGATGAATGGTAAATTACTGGTTTGTTGTTGTTGATCTTTTGTGTTTTGGTTCACTTCAAGAAAAAAAAACATTCCTTTGAATTAAATAGGTTTTAGTTGGCAATTCATTCTTTTTGTAAATGGTTACCAAAAGTTGTGCTACCCTTAATATTGGAAAACTCGAGTAGTTGTGTTGAGATGGTGGAGAAGATTTGTAGCTTAGGTGTGTGATTTTGATGTAGGTTTATTCTCTGAGCTCTACGACCAAACCATCCAGCTCAGAGAACAAACCTACATCAAAAAAAGTGTTCTTTAAACTGGATGGTCTAATTGCTAAACTTTCGTCGTTCTGGTAAATATCATTTTTGTCTTACTTCATGAAGTGATTTTTTATCACTCAACAAAAGAGTTTATCTTTTGGTCTTGTCTCAGCTGAATATGACGATAATCAAACAATGAGTAGATAAGTAAATGGCCAGTTACTACGTTCTGTTCGTCACAGATTGATCTAAGTTGGGTCACTCACAGGGAATAAAATGTGGTTGGTAGAGTTCAAATATTTCGGGAGTGAAACAATGGTCACCAGTGGTATTAGATAGCCGTCGCACTATATTTCACACTGATGAAAGTCAAAATCATACCATTAGATGCAAGTTCAATGTTAATTGTGATCAGACATTTACGAGACCTGAAGATCATCAGTTTGATCTCTGTTGGGATCATAGTTGTAAAACTCTGTGGGTCCTCATTCCAGGGCGAAACAGCTATATACAGCTTCCTGGTGTGCAGTGGTACCTCATCTGAGAACAATCTGCTACGAAAACAACCTATAAATTCAATCTCCACAGAACCTAGTAAACCAGCCCATTCTCAGAATCTGTATATCTATTACTCAATATGTGAGTGATTTTACTTAATACATTCGTAATTTCATTTTACAGTCGCACTCTCAATTAGTATACACTGTTCAGTTTTATTGAACCAAATGGAAACCGTACTGCCAAAATTATAAATAAGGTTCTTATTTAGGGTTCTAAAAGTACTAGATACAACCACTTTTAAGCAGATTTAGATAATGGCTAGCAGTGGAGTCTGACGCGCGTTTTGTCCTACTTGAGGCTCATCGGCCGGATGTTCATCCGCCCTTGTCTATGTCCATGCTGGGACTAGAACCCAGTACCTTCCACTTTAAACGCCTAGCACACTATCTACCTAGTTATCGAGTCAAAATAGCCACTAGCTTGTTTAATATTATATAGAGTGTTTAGGGGATAACAAATCATCGAATTGGCTAGAAAAAACCTAACCAAGGAGTGGCACACCCTCCATCGTTCCTTCGTCTGGTGATCCAAAACATTTTATGCTACTGGCCTCAGATAATTGTCTTTTGGGCTTTGTGATCATACTATACTATTGATGAGACTAGCAATACTAATATCGTTTCTTAATCGAATCCCTCAAGAAAAAGCAATTTCTTCGGCTTAATTCAAAACGTTTGGGAAGATAATTGAACTTCGGGAACTTCTACTACTTTGAAACTCATTCCAACAATTTCAGAAGACTATAAAGAATTGGTGATATGTCAGTATCAACTGCGTACCTCTCGCGATATTCAACACTTTTTTGTTTATAATCAAACCTCTAATATTTATTTCCCAATCACCAAACTTTTTCTGGTTTTATCTTCTCTCAAGCATGATTAATCTGAACGGTTTGAGTTGACTGAACTGAAATTGTGATCAATAAATTGTGATTAGATCTCAGTCCTACAGGAGATCGGTCGCGACCCGAATAGCTCAGTGGTAACGTCTCTGACTGTGAAGTTGAGTGACACGGGATCGAATCCGCCAGGGAGCATCAGTTCCCTCAAGATTGCAGGTACACCTTGCTGACGAGTGCCAAGTAGCACGAAACCCCGATCCAGGGTTTCTTGTTGACCACCTCCAACCAATATGTTACCTTAATATATATAGTGCACGCAGTGTCGAGCCACCTAGACTGGTGGCCACATTGCAACTTGATCGATAGCATTCGATCAGCACTAAGGGCTTGACACGCATGAGATTGATCACCACCCAGTGATCAGTCAATTGTGAACTGAAATTGTACTCGTAGTTGTACAATAAACCTATCGGTGTTTACACTCTTCGATCGAAAAACATGCTTCAGAAGTCAAAACTTAAACGTTTCGCTCCATTGTTGTGTATAGAGACATGTTCACTGACTCAAGTTTTATATGGTACACCTTGACATAGTTGAATTCATCAGTGACAATCGAAAATTATGCTAGATAATATAGTTTATGAGTAACGAACGACATGATACTGAAGCTTATTATTTAAGAAAAATGATAAAGAATGCATGTATCTGCATTAATGTCGATCTGCGGCTACATTATCCATTGTTTACAAACGTGGATTATCGCTATCTTGTTGATCCCAATTCAGGAATTTATGTATCTGGCAACAAGATTCAATCTATTAATCCTTGACCTAGTGTTATAGTCTGGCAACCTTTAATGTCTACCACTTTTTACGTGATCCTTTACAGATAATGTTATCATCACTCTACGAGAGCAGTGATTCGTAGACTTCTGTGATAGAAGACAATTGACTTACATTTTAAATACCGTGCTTCTTAGCATCCGAATAACATGTAACAGATTGTTGCATAATTAACTTATTTTACTATGTATACCAATAATTGTCCTCCTTACAGTTGATATAAGTTGGTAAGACTCAACAAAATCTTTGGGTCTGTCCGTAGATTTTCTTGAGTCATCACCTTATCAGGCATTGCAAGATTTCTAAGTGTAATTGTCAACGCTCTCAACTAGTTTACATTATGTAGTCAAGTTTGGTATTGATCAAGAGCATCTCTAAAGGCAATATTTTGGATTTTAAAAGATTAGATAGGCAATTCTTACATTGTTACTCAAGGCTTACAAAAAGTGTATTTTGTTGACATTTTTACCAAACAGAATTATATGATATACTCAAATCTAATTATAGGAGACTAGACCAATATCATTTCCGTCTGGTCCTTTAATTCCCGAATTTTATCGACCAAGTTTAACTTGGTCAATTGTCTCAATGACGACTTCG